ATTTTTTTATCAAAGATAAAATACTATAGATATGAACCTAGAATAACTACAGTCAACCTTCCAACAACATGGATTTGAATTGTGCAGGATCACTTATACACAGGTGTTTTTCAATAGTAAATACTACAATACTACTTAGTCCATGGTTGGTTGAATCTGTGGATGTGGAGGAACTATGGATATGGAGGTATAGACAAGTTTTTTCTTCAACATTTTGTAGTGAGCCTCTTCCCCATGTCAGTCAATATTCTTTACAAACAAGGTTTTTTAATGGCTAATTGTTTTCAAATAGTTCACTGTAAAGAGATAGATACTTAAAATATTAAGATTCAATGGTTTCATCTTAATTTCACATTAAAATCTAACTAGGTTACTACAAAAGATGCTGAAAACAACACAGAGTTACAGATTAGATACAGAGGATCAGGAACAATCTTGGAAGCAATTCTTTACCAGGACAATTTCAGGCTGCACAGTGACCTCACTCCTGGCCTATGAATAAGAAATGAGAGGACGGAAGCCATGGATGGATGGATGGTCTAGGTAAGAGGTGTATGTGAGGGGTACATAAGGATGTATGAGTGGGGAGCACACCCTATTACCAGAATCATTGAATTCATTAATAACTGCCATTGTGTTATTCCATATGCTAATATGGCATAAAAACTATAGGCCAAGTGCCACTTTATATTTCCTTCCAGTCTTTTTTCTAAGCATAATTTTTTAAATGTGATTGAAATCCATAGTATGAATATTTTTGTTACCTGGTTTTTTTTTCCATTTATTCAAATTCAGTCTTTTGATTTGACTTGTACAACTTTAGGATAGAGGAAAATGCACTGTGGGTGTATCAACAGAAAAAGACAATTATCCATTGACCAGTTAGGGTTCTATTTACATAAATTTCAATTCAAACCAACAGTATTTTGAGATTTTCATGGAAAATAGCCCACTTCTTATGGAAAATTTTCAGGATAGAGAACGAAGGAGGTAGACAAACACAATGTGGGAAGGCTGATGCTTCTTTTTTTCCTCATAGGCAACTAGGGGAGGCGGAGAGGGTCAGTAAAGGCATGTTTAGGGGAAAGTTGGAGAAGCATCCACATCTGCTCGTTATATCAAATGTCTAGGGACTCTCTAAATAATTCAGGTGCAGTCGGCTCCCTCCAGGGCCAGGTGTTGAGGAGAGTTTCCAGACAAGCATCTCCTCTTGCAAAACTGGAGCAGACCTAGGATCTGATTACTTGAAAAGGGGTCTAGTTAGTAGCTATGGCAACCTCCTTCTTCTGCCTTACAACCTGCCTTGGGCTAAGGTAAGGAACTTCTAGGAAAACACTACTACTGTAGCCTGCTGTAGTGGTGAAGAGCTTTGAAGCCCACGTATCTGGTTCTAATCTAGGTTCTGCCACTTCCTAACTGTGTGACCTGGGAATTTACTCAGACTCTCAAGGGTTTCCCTTGCGGCTCAGCTGGTAAAGAATCTGCCTGCAATGTGGGGGACCTGGGTTCGATCCCTGGGTTGGAAGCATCCCCTGGAGAAGGAAAAGGCTACCCACTCCAGTATTCTGGCCTGGAGAATTCCATGGACTGTATAGTCCACCAGGTCGCAGAGTTGGATATGGCTAGCCACTTTCACTTCTCTGAGCCTCAGTTTCTGAGCCTAGAAAATATGAGATAATTCATTCAGATTGCTGTGGCATCATCTGTAAGGACTCTTGCTACAGTGCCTGTTAAGTACTAGATTATCTCCCAAGAGTGTCCCCCACTTCATTTCCTAGGAAGAGATGTTTGGACTTAAAATAGAAATGTTCAGAACTAAGTGAAAGCTAGAACAAATGAATAATACAGCTAACAGTATTGACGGTTTACCATAGGCTGGCCATTGCACTGAGTGCTTTATATATAATTTCACAAAGCCCACTTACAGATAAGCGTTATCAAAATTCAAAGACACTTTCCCCAGCTCAAACAGGTAGCAGGTGGTGCAATCAAGGCCCAAACTCTGTTCTGCTTCTTATCACCTGAAGCCCATGTTCTTACCTTCTAAGTAGATGGATTTCTGCAAGTCACTGGGCTGTGCCAGCACTTCATCTCCAGGTGGACAGTCTGAGGATGCTGGTGGAGTCTAGCTTATCCAGACTTGAGGACAGACCTCCTTAGGTCTGTGGACCCTGATTGCCCTCTAGTGTCAGAGCATTCTTGGGACCAGCTGGAACCTAGAACCAGGTGTCTTTTCTCTGAGGTGGTAGGGAACCCACCTACCCTACAGTCCCCTACAATCCCCCTACAGCAAATCTGTCTAGTCTGGTGTCTTCCTATTGGCTAAAGGGTTTCTCCTAGGAATGGGGGTAAGATAGGTGGTAGAGATTGGAAGTTAAGAACTATTGGGGGTAGAGCAGTAATGCTCAGGTTAAGCGTTGAACCACTGGATGGGGAATGTCTCTTATACTCAGCACACAACACACAATTGGTGCTCACTGAATATTGAATGAAGTTTTACCTCTCATTCTCACTAAAGAGCGAGCACTGCCAAAAGAGCAGTTGCAAAGGTCTTCATTGATTTTTGCCAGCAACACCAGCAGAAAAGACACTGTAACATTAACCCCACCTTCCACTTCAGTAGACTCCAAGGCATGTTTACATCCATGGCTAGGCAAGAATGAAGATGCTGCTTAGGAGATGAGTTGGAGTCAGCAACGACATATAATCAGTTTAGGCTGCCAATGTCCCAAATGGTCCATAGGTCTCAGAGAAGTCCCCCTCCACCTCCATAACTCTGCCCAGGTAGTCCATGTCACCCGGTGGTCAGTGAGCTCCTGGGTGCACTGTTCATCGATGGATAGTAGGGAATCTAAAGACAGGCTCACCAGGTGGCTTATCAGGGGGAGGTGACCACCCCAGACCCCCTGCCAAGCCCCTTGAATCACAGGAACTCAGCAAGATTGTTGCAAAATAGGGGAGAGGTGGTTTCATAAAATAAAGGATATAGAGCAAATTATACCTATTAGAATCTAGTATATGGCTGCCCAATTTTCTTTCCATATGAATATTAATAATTTTGTAAATGTCCCCATAATGTATGAATATAGTCAGACATTATTTTTATTACTATTATAACTACCTTTATTATCATTATTTCTAAGTAATAGAAAACCTAAACCCAAGTAAACTTGGTTTGATGAATAAAAACATTTGTTGACTGTGGCTTTGTAGTATAGTCTGAAGTCAGGCAGGTTGATTCCTCCAGTTCCATTCTTCTTTCTGAAGATTACTTTGGCTATTCGAGGTTTTTTGTATTTCCATACAAATTGTGAAATTATTTGTTCTAGTTCTGTGAAAAATACCGTTGGTAGCTTGATAGGGATTGCATTCAATCTACAGATTGCTTTGGGTAGTATAGCCATTTTGACAATACTGATTCTTCCAATCCATGAACACGGTATATTTCTCCATCTGTTTGTGTCCTCTTTGATTTCTTTCATCAGTGTTTTATAGTTTTCTATGTATAGGTCTTTTGTTTCTTTAGGGATGGGGAATATATGTAAATCCATGGCTGATTCATGTCAATGTATGACAAAAACCATTACAATATTGTAAAGTAATTAGCCTCCAACTAATAAAAATAAATGAAAAAAAAAAGAAAAGAAAAAAAAAATAAAATAGCTCAACTGGAAAAAAAAAAAATTTGTTGAGGGCTTTTCACCCCTAGGTGGGGAGGTGGGAACTTCAGGATTGGTTTGTTCAGCAGCTCGTGTTGCCAGGAGTTGGTGGCCAAGAAAGGGAAGTAGGAGGGTAGGACCACAGAAAGGATTTTGGAATAGAGAGCTGGCTTCCTAGAGCAAGGACAAGCCAAGTGCTGGAAGACAGTCTGGGTGGGAGTCCTGGTGAGGCTACGGCCGCTCCCTGGTCTTCTTTTGGGAATCACTTTCCTTTTGAGGGAAGAGGGGAGAATTCTGACGGTCCACAGTCTCTGCAGAAATGGACTAAGGACTGAGGTGGCTGCACAGGGAGAATGGACTTATGGATGACGAAACCTTAGCTGCACTTCCTGCACTAAACTCACCCCTGTCCCAGGCCCTAAGAAGGGTGAGTTTACACCTCCCAGCTGTCTGGGATGTACTATCTTATTTACTCACATGAACGTCAGCTCCAAATTTATATATTCATTGCTCCCTGACTTCCATTTCATCCCCCTCCAGCTTTTGCTCCCCCAGTCCCTGCCTGAATGCTCTGGCTTCTCCTTACCCTAAAACTTGTCTTTCTCAGGGCCCAGTTCCAGGCCTGCCTCTTCAGTGGTGTCTTCCCCCAGGACTTGGCCTTCTTAGGTCACTTTCTATTTTTGATTCCAGGGGCATTTGTTGTCTGGTTGGGAGCTGATTGTGGTACTTGCCATACAGTTTCAGGCAGCTATGTTTATTGCCTTTTCAGGCAAGCTATGCCAAAACTCCCCACTCAGGGGCAGGGCAGGCAGGGTAATGGGCTGACCATGTAAGGGTCGGGATGAGAGGTAGCATCTGGAGCCAGCCTGGGAACATGCTCCCCATGACACCATAATTCTTGTGCTCATAAAACATCCTCAGAGGATAAGAAGAAACATGTAAGTGAGTGCTTATTTCTTTGGGAGGGCCCCCATGAGACAAGAAATCTTTCAACTGCAGACTATCAGGCACCAGTGGTGTTAAGAACAGGATGGAAGGAGGGAGAGCTCAGAGCTGTCAATGAACCAGGCGATCCTAAGGCTGTGTGGACCCGGCATAAGGACAGCACGCTCAACTTCAGACCATCACCATGTTTTTAGTCCCTAGGCTCCTGGGGCTTCATCTCTCATTTCCTCCCCTCTCTGACTAAGTCCCTCCCCCTGGGGATCTGCCTGTGCTGCTCCCATCAACACCTGACACCGCTGAGGCCAATCAATGTTCAGAGAAGAGACTGTAAGAGCAGGGTGTGAGAGCACAAGGGAGGGGAGAGGAAGAGGGTGACGAGGAGTGACAGAACGTGAATAGTGCACACAGGCTTTTCTTAAGAACTTTATTTCTCAAAAAGGGGGGAAGAATCCAAAGTATTAAAATAATTCTCTAATTTTTTGTTTTGGAGAGAAAGGACGACAAAATAACTCATATAAAAATTTCAGCACAATGGCGGTAGGTACTTCATTCTCAAACTTGCACCTTCCGTCCACAGCTTTGGTTCCAGCCGTGTCACAAGTAGGGCTGAGCTCTGGATCCGGAGAGGTTGCCAAGCAGCTAGAAAGCTTTTTATATTCACTCCACAGATAAATACAGAAGGCCAACCTGCCCAGTGCAAATGATTCAGTCCATCTCTGTGACTGTTTCTGATGAGAATGCTAATAAGAACTGCCCCTCTCCAAATTCTAAATCTCTCATTTCTGAAGACCAAGAGTGTGAAAGAAATGAAATGTGGAGAGACTTGTCAGGTATGACTGGCTCTTGTAACAACCAAATGCCAAAGGAGACTCGACCTCATTGAGGTGATAAAAGGTAAAAATCGACTGTGATTTTTCCATTGCCTTTTATGTGGGAAAACCGCACCTTTCTGTTTTCATCATCAAAAGGAATTGCACTATGTGAAGCAAAGTCCCTCTCTGTAGCAATCATGCAAAATCCCTATCTACAGCAATTATGTTCTAACTTAGAGAAAAGAAAAAAAGAGGGGGGGGGGGCGCTGGAACACGAGTCCTTAGCCCAGATTGATGTTGCCACACAGCCCAGAAGCATGGAGGTGCACTTTCCAACAGACAGGTCCTACCAGGAGGTGGGAGACAAGACAGGGTTCCGCCCGAGATGCTTGAGATGAGCTTCACTGTGAAGACCCCTTGGACACGCCCGGCTCTCCTCTGAAGGGGCTCAGTTGGTGTTTCGCTGAGGAATAGGGAGGTTCTCATGAAGGTACTTTAAACTTCCGTGCTCTGAGAAGTCTGAGACCACGTGGTCCTGCCCTCGCAGCAGCCACTTGGTAGTCAGTAGTCCTTCTAGTCCCACTGGCCCCCGGGCGTGGATTCGAGATGTACTTATTCCCACTTCAGCTCCTGCAGGAAAGGAGGGATTGAGGATGCAGCTTTGCCCAGCCTCTGCTTCCTGTCTACCCACCAGGCCATCTCTTCCTTCTCCTCACTTGGCACCCTCTCCCTTTCCTCTCCTGACCTACCCTCCCTAGGCTGGCCTGACTTCCACTCTCCCCATAAACATGTTTTCTGCTCACTGTAAATCATGGTCAGGTCCCTTCTTCTAATGAAACAGACTACATGGGTGTCTCTTTCATATTTTATTCGCAGTGCATTCTGACAACTCTACAAGTGCTGTCTCTGACATCTGTCTTGTGTCTGTATTGCGTACCATTATCTAATATCTGGGCATTGTTTGAGGTGTACAACAATGTACAGAGGTTTTATCTCCCCAAGCATCCTTCAAAGTTACATGTCATGTAAGGGACATGCTCTAGATATTCCCCAGAATGCTCAGCTGCTAAGTGCTCATAAGACAGTGACTGAATGCATGAAAGGATACCGTTCCTTTTTCTCCCTCCTGCTCCAGCCTCAGACATGGGGCATCAAGACTTTTTCTGGGTCTGGCGTGATGTTCTGCAGAGCTCCCCTGCTCATCCCAACTTTACTGAGCAGGCACTGGGCTAGGCCTTGGGGATAAAGTATGTGAATAATTGATGCAATTCATGGAGCTTGTATTCTTGTAGGTAAGGCAGCCAGAGAACACCTCAGCAAATAATTGCATGTGGTGATGGGGTGCAGTGGAGGGTGCTGGGACAGAGACTGGCAGGGTGGCAGCACCTGGAACAGGATGGTCAGGGGGAGCCTCCCTGAAGAGTTGTCTTTGGCTGAACAATGAGAAGCAGCCAGCTAGTGGACAGCACTGGAGCAGTGCTGCAGGCAGCAAAGAGGTGCCTGGGGCAGTGGTTGGCAAGGAGACTGACCACTGGCTTCAAACTCTGGTTTAGCGGCATAGAGACCACATGACTTTGGGCATACTGCCTAATCATCTCTTGCTTCAGTTTTTTCTTTTGGAAAAGCAGGAAAATAATAGAATCCATTATGTAGAACTGAGATAATGCATGTGATGTACTTATGCATGGTGCTGGAAATCTAGTAAATGCTCAGTAAATATTATCTGTCACTATTATTCATGCATTTCACAGGAATTTACTCAAACAGAGTCTGAGCTTTTGCTCTGAGTGACTGATGGGAAGACAAGGCAGTGGTCTTTGCTCCTCCCCCATCTTGGACCTTCACTTGAATGCTGGGAACCTCAGCCCTTACAAGTGTGTTATTTCTTCTTTAAGAACATGGGAATTAAAAATAAAGAGCCCAATGACTAAGAATAACTCAGCAAAATTCCCTTTAACAATGTTTCATAATTCAGTGAGAATTATTCCTCTAGGCAGTTCTCTATTCAAACATTCAGAGGAGTTAAAATATTTTAAGTAGCTGAAATAATTGTCAGATATGTCATAAATGCCTTATTGGAGCTTTGTATAAGGGTACCCCTGAAAATTAGAGACTGTCTGAAACATCCTTATACTACTGGGGGGATGGAGATTTTACTAGTAATGACGGAAAGGGGGAGGGTGCCTTTCCAAAGCCTTGTATTTCAAAGTCTGTTTTAGAAGTCAACCTTGGGGAGGGGGGATCGGGATGGAGAACACATGTAAATCCGTGGCTGATTCACGTCAATGTATGGCAAAAACCACTACAATATTGTAAAGTAATTAGCCTCCAACTAATAAAAATAAATGGAAAAAAAAAAAAAAGAAGTCAACCTTGTACCTCTGGGCTCACATGTTTATTTCTGATGCTGATACTTCAGCCCAGCATAGGTAATAGTAATGCCTTCTTTTGTCCTATCCTTGGGGGGATTCCTATCTCTGAGGCAACCTGGATGTGTCTCTGAAGGAGTGAGCCTGCAGTGGCAGTGTCCTCATGGAGCCCTGGACGCACACCTGTCACAACCCATGCATGCAGACATGCTGTGGTCTGCCAAACGTGGAGGCAGTGAGCCAGGCTCTGAACTCAAGCAGGTCTGGGTCTGAACACCAGCTGCGTGACTTTGGGCAAGTTACTTCATTTCTTTGAATCCTAGAATCCTCATCTATGAAAAAGGGAATACAAGCACCTACCTTCTTAACCTGTGAAGTGCCTAGAACACAGGACTTCTACCAGTTCATGGTAGCTGTGCCCATTCTCTCTCACAAATCCACTTTCCCTCAGTCTGTCTCCATCACCCTGACCACATTTGTGACTGTAAATGCCAGGTGTCTCCTCCACCCTCATGATGCTGCTTGGGCCACAAAGTGATCCACAAGGGACTGCTTTCTCTCCGACCAGACTCCTTCTTACCCAGTCCGAAGCGGTAGCCATCAGAGAAGCGAGTGCTGGCATTCCAGAACACACAGGCACTGTCCACGTGCTGGAGAAAGAACTCAGCTGTCTTCTCTGCAGCACAATGAAAAGAAATTGAGTTAGGATGGCCTGGGAAAAATATCCCTGCTTCCAGCCACTCAACAGGGCCTGACTGGGTCAGGGCCCAGGCCCGTGGGGTACTTCCCTGAATATTAAACATATGAACTTGTGAAGATCTGTAACAGTAGAAAGCAAACCTGCTTCATTAGTCATGCTGCCGAAGCAGTAGGTACATGGGAAAGACTGGGTTAGAGTCCAGATCTCCCTGTACCCTCAGTGTGGCAATGGCCTATCTACACTATCTGTTTCTAGGTTCTGAGCCAAATCCTTAAGTCTCAACTCCACACCCACCAGCTGGGTGACTGTGGGCAGGTCTCTGAACCTATGCCTGAGATCAATGAGGACTGACACCATCACCTAGTTCCCAGTTTGTGGAGAGGATATAATGAACTCACAGCTGGGGAGTACTCGTCCCAGACCCAGCAGATGGGAAGCACGTGGTAAGCACTAGCTGTTCTCACTGGTGGCTTCTCCTTGAGCATAGGTCAGCCTCCCATGCCTGACACCCAGGTGTGCCTTTCAGTGATCACACAGGGAAGCAACTAGTGACTACGCAGAGGGGTTTTGCCCTATGCTACTTGGTTCTCTGCCTAACCTCTGGAGCCTTGGTTTCCTCACCTGTGTGCACATGTGCTAAGTCACTTCAGTCAGGTCCAACTCTTTGCGACCCCATGGACCCGTTAGGCTCCTCTGTCCCTGGGATTCTCCAGGCAAGAATACTGGAGTGGGCTGCCATGCCTTCCTTCAGGGGATCTTACGTGACCCAGGGATCAAACCTGCATCTCTTACGTCTCCTGCACCAGGCAGGCAGGTTCTTTACCACTAGTGCCACCTGAGAAGCCCTTCCTCAGCTGTAAAATGGGCTTATTCCAGCGATCTGGAAAGACTGCTGCATGGATTAAATGGTGATGACTCTGACACATGGTGAGCCCTGTTTAAAGTGGAGTCAATCACTTCTTCCCTGCTTCCTCCCAAGGCCACTGTGACAATACAATGGGGTAACAGATATACAAGCACTAAGTGAACCAGCAAGTCCCGCCAACCCTGGGCACTATCAGCAGTCCACTGAGACTGTGTTTTCCTGCAGGCCAAGAGGGGCTGAGCAGAGCAGGGCCAGCTTGGAGGTCAAGGCAGAAAAGGCAGACCCTGCGTGCTGTTGCCTGTGCAGACTGACCATTCTCGGTGACGATGACATCCGTGTGTGAGCTGCCATACTTGTGGATGTGGTCGATGGCATCCTGCACACTGTCCACCACTTCAATGCACAGCTCCAGGTCCCCGTACTCAGTTCGGAGGGACTTCACTTCAGAGGGGCTGAAGGTCAGATAAGAGGCAAACTTGGGGCCTGCATGAATCTTCACCTGGGGCAGAGGAAGTTGGGGGCAATGACTTAAACACTGCAGAAACAGGCAGCGCATACTCCTCCTTCTGGATTCAACATCAAGGTGAGTCTAGAGATGATAAGCCTGGGGCTCCTGGGGCCTAGAAACCAAAACGGCCCCTGCTTCCTTTTAGAGGCAGCCTCCATCCTCTAGAATGCTCTGCTTTGGAAAATGCTGACAGCCACTTGCTAGCAACGGCCCCCAGTAAAAGTGGACCAGGGATTTAAGCAGGAAGTCTTATAAGCCCTTGACTGCTGGCATTTTACTGAAATGAACACACGACTAAAATCCCGCTCCTGGCTAGAGGAATTTAAGGATCCTGAGGGCTGGTCACTGAGGATGCAGTCACAGTTCTTCAGGATCAAGCACTGGCTCAAGGACCAACATGCCCCACTTGTCTGGTCCCTACTGCTCCCAAGGTCTTGCATGGTTTCCCATCTGGGGCCCCACATCCTCCAGGCCTGGGATCCAACCAGGTTCCCTATGGGCCGGAACCCTACCTCTGTGCAAGGCGCCCTCTGCTTTACTTCCTGCATTACAAGGTGCTTTGAGAAGTGCACACCCGGGCTCATTCTGACCAAGGAATGTCCAGGCGATGCTGAGAAGGACTGGTGACATTGTGGGTCTGTCTGAATCAGAACTGGAGGTTTGACTCCTGGATACAAGAGTTTTCCTCTTGTCCAGTCCAGTCCAGTCCAGTCCAGCGTGGTGCCTAGCACACACCAGTGCTCAAACAGGCCACTAGTGTGAGGTCAGGCCCCAAACCTAAGTGGTCAAGTGATCTAACTCCCTTGTAATTTGTGGGGTCCATTTTCATTTTCCAAACTGTCCTTGTAGGTTCCCATCTTCCTTTCCAGCAAAAGGATGGAAGGGAAGAGACACATGCTCAGGATCAAAGCAACCAAGGCCAGCAGTCACTCTCTCCACTGCTGTGCCAGTTCACACAGTTCTGAAAGGACACCATGACACCAGATATTAAAGCTTAAAATGTGTCCTGACAGAAAATTTAACACTGTTCATTTTTACCTGGAGAGTGTCTATTTCTTTGCAATTAGGATTTTAAGATGGAACATACATTTATATTCAAAACTTACTGCCACTGGATGTTTATCATCTTAATGATATGGTGAGAAAAGAGCAGACATTACACAAACTGCTCACTCCTAAAAATCACTGCACTAATAAGCACATTAATATTGGTAACTGAAGACATTTTGTGGAGGGGAGGATATATGTAAATTTTTGGCTTGAAAACATTTCTGCATAATCTTTCCAAGTCAAACCCAAACAGGAATGTGTGTTCAGAAACAAACTTTATGCCAGGAAAGAGTCCATTCAGTGGGCTGCCATGTGATCAGCGTTATCTTTGAACCCTCTTAGCCCTGACCATACTCCACTTTGGAATGAAACTATTTGTGTATGGGTTTCTTCCAGCCTCTAGAGGTACAGGCGTGTCTCACTCACTCTGTGTACTCAGCATACAACTTTGTGTGTGGCAGATGCTCAAAAACATTGCTTCTCAGATGGCCTTAAATGGAATGGCAGCTGCTCCCGGTCTAATCCCAGAGGCTTCTAAATCTCCGGAGTGAGGACAGGAAGTGATGGCCTTGTCCTACCTGTTCCACTCTCAGCATGTCAATGATCTGGTCAAACAATGGTGTTCTCAGCAGGTCTCGGTGGATTAACAGGGTCTCTAAAGCATTACAGGCAGCTGGATATTCACATTTGGAGTCTCTAACTGAAAGAGGAGAATAAAGAATTGTTTCTATTAACATGAACCAGGGCCACTGAGGACATGAGAACTATTTTGTGCACATAAGATGGGACCTGATCGAGCTCACCTAGCCTGGTGACCTTGTCGACACTGGCCTCTGAATCCACGTACATGTGGCAGATGCCTTCACTGTGCCCCATCACTGGGATGCCCTTAGCAGCTTTCTGGATGTCTCTGACCAGCTGGGAAGAGCCTCGTGGAATGATCAGATCTATCATTTTGTCTAAACGGCAAAGATCTTCTACTTCTTCTCTGGTATTCACCTGAAGAGGTAGAGAATAAAAAGATGAAGATGACTTTTGATCACACAAACTATGGAAGTAGCAGCATCCCTTACACAGATAAATGCCTGTACCTCCTGAGAATTAAGTCCGATGCTGTGAGAACTTATTCCAAAAACAAGGAATCATGGGAATTTAAAAATTGTCCAGCAAATGCTTAAACTCTACACATCAGCTGCTGTGCTCCACATTACAAAACATGCAGGATAGGATCCCTGCCCTCAAAGAACTCATGAATCTGGAAGGGAAGACAGGACTAGGCCACAATGAGCCAAAACACAGGATGGATACTTTTAAGATGACAGAAGAGGTACAAAGTGTGATCTCTGGAAGTTCAAGAAGATACAGAGTATGCCAGGCTGTGAGGGTGACAAAGGGAAGTGGCTGCTCCACTGGCTCCCTGATCACAGCCTAATAACATGCTGCTGGATCTTACTAGGGAGTCATGGTTCTCCATGACTTGGGCTGACAACCTCTACCCCAGGATGCTCGTTGGACTGACTGAAGTGCTTGTGTTAGACCTCGAAGATTATGGGCATTTTTTTCCTTCCCTTGATTTTTAATTTCCCCCCATATGGTTGTGTTACTAACAATAGAAGTACAAATATACATTTACAAGAAGGTTCACAGCAACTTCAATCTGCATCTCCCCAAACTTGGAAACAACCCTGATGTTCATCAACAGAAGAAAGGATAAGCTGTAGTACATGCTTATAAATAGAATACTACACAGCAGTAAAAAAGGAAAACTACTGCTGGATCAAACAATGAGAATGAATTTCGAGGACATAATGAATAAAGAAATACAGATGAAAGAGTGCATTCTGTATGATTTCATTTATATGAAATTCAAGAACAGGCAAAAGAAACAGAATATGAAAGAAGTAAAAAAAAAAAAAAGGTTTCATGGTGGGGGGGTGGGGCATGCTGATGGGGAAGGGCATAGAGAGTCTTTCAGGTGTTGGCAATGTTCTGTGTCTTGCTATGGGGGTGGTTATATATGTGTGTATATATATATATGGACATAAGTATATGGGTTTCCTAGGTGGCTCAGTGGTAAAGAAACCACCTGCCAACGGAGGAGACACAAGAGACATGGGTTTGATCCCTGGGTTGGGAAGATCCCCTGGAGTAGGAAATGGCAAACTGCTCCAGTATTCTTGCCTGGAAAATTCCACGGACAGAGGAGCCTGGTGGGTTACATATAGTCCATAGGGTCACAAAGAGCAACAGCATACATGTACATCACATGAGATAAGGATTCTTTTTTCTTTAAATTTTATTTTTTATTATATTTTTGGCCTTACCACATGGCATGTGGGATCTTAGTTCCCTGACCAGGGATTAAACTCATGCCCCCTGCAGTGGAAGTGCAGACTCCTAAACTTTGGACCACCAGGGAATTCCCAAGGATTCTTTATATATGTTACACACCAACAGGGAGGAGGAGGAAGAAATCTGGCACATTAAATGAGGATATGGTGCAGCCAAGACCTAAACCCCTACAGTCTGTGCTCTTTCCACCCACTATGCTGCTGTAAGAATAGCCCAGCTTCTTGGCAGGGAGCATGTAATGAGGCAGGTTTGTAGATACACCAACCCCCCTCCTCACCAGCAGCCAACAGTATCCTGGAATGTATGCACGAGTGGGCCTCAAGGGAAAAAGAGAAGGATCTGGAGTCTGCTCGGGTCCAAATCTCAACTCTGAGTGATTCTGGGGTGTTATTTTACCAATGAGCCTATTTTTCTTCCATCTATAAAATAGACCTAATCATTAACGGTATCCTTTTCACAAGGTTGTTGTGAGGATTAAATGAAATGATGGATGAAAGTGCTGTGTCCACAGTAGGTGCTCAATAAAACCATCTAGTAGTTCAAAACCTCCACTGGATGGTTGAGGAGTGTGACACAACTGTTAAAATAATGACCATAACAGTAACAGTGTTAATAGCACGACCTCATACAAGCTGCATGATGGTTTCTGACAAACTTTCATAAAACATATCTCATCAGACCTGGCCTCAATCACTGCCAGTGAGCAGAGACCAGGCCTCACACTCTAGGTCTGGTATTCCTGCTGCCTAAAACCTCAGGAATGATTCCTGTCAATCAATGGTACCAGAACACAGCTGTGTGAGAGGGGCCTTCACGAACCACCCAATCTGGGTCAAGGCAGCACCAGCGCTGTCCAACGTCACAGGCACACAGAACCTGCTGCTCCTCCAGTCAAGCCTGCCTATACAAGTGGCCTTGCCTTTGCAGCCTGAGCTTTGCTTCAAACCCCCAGAGACCTGGCCCAGCTCCTCTGGGCCTGACCGAGCTCATTCCCAGGGACCTACCAGCTGTACAGCCTCCTTGACTCCATGGGTTGAGAGGGCCTCCTGGGTCAGGAGGTGAAGGATTCGGTTGCTGTGTGAGGCCTCCTTCCCTCCTTTGAGTAACAAGCCATTACCACTTGCTATAGCCAAGGCTGCCACCTGCAGATCAAAGAGGAATGCAGTCAAACACTGAGCATGTCTTTCTGTGCCAAGCACTATGCTAATCACTTTATAAGGTCTACCATGTTTAATCTTTACAACATTCCAGTGAATTAAGTACCTGCCTTATCCACTGCTTTACAGACAAGGACACTGAAGCCCAGACAGGTTGGTAACTCCTCAAGGACACACAGCTTTTAAGTGGCAGGGCTGGGGACCTTTACCCCAGAGCCAAAGCACAGATCTTAGGAAACTGTACTATATAGCTTCAGCACCATTACGGAGTAACCCAAGTTAAGTCTCCAGGGTCACACAGGCCCTACCTTCTCCGGCCACAGGTGCTCAGGAGCCTCCAGACTTAGGTGTTACTTCACCTGACTCAGCAGCACCCGAGGCTATACAGCACCTCTGGCCACACACTCCCACGGCCCTGTCATTGCTCTGAGAGCTCTAATGCCTGGCGCTGAGCCCCTGCACAGCTGTGGCAAAGACTGCTGGCAGGACGAAGCAGGACATCTACAAGGAGAGCTAGTTACCCTCTGGGAGTGAAGGGCTAATGACACTGATCTGATGAGGCCTGAAGCTGAACTTTCTGAATGCTTTAGGGATGAATGAAAATCTTCCTGCTTTTGTAATATATCAAAAGAAACTTTACAAAATAAAACTTCCTTGAACATGTTTATCTCCAGAATAATAATTCTTACTCCTTTTTTGTTTTTGTTGCCCATGAACCTCTTAAAAAATGTCAACTTTTCCCAGATAAATGCACAAACACACAGCATTCTCCCTGTAATTTGCAGGATTCATGTATTCCATGATGCCGTCCAAGGTTAAGATCCCAGGTTGGAAATCTCAGTTGTAACTGGCTAAAGAGGAAACTTTTTCCTAGTGAAGTATTCGTTAGTATGGATAAAAGGTGGCAGAGAAACTTCATGGACACGGCCTGCAACTTAGGACTCATTTCTACCAGCTGACAGTTATCTCCGGGGGTTCTTCATGAGACAGATATGCACACCAAGGGGGCTGTGTGACAGCACCAGCCACAGGCTGAGGACAGACCCCAACGGTATGGGAGTCCCTTAGCGGACCAGCTAGTTTTAGATCATGTCGGGGAGGAAGTAGCCTCCACACAGCAAGTGGGACTCCCAGGGTCACATATGCCCTAGAAGAAAAGGTTCTATTTCTTTTTTCTAAATAGAATCTCTCTTTGAAACTTCGGGGCTAGTGCAAAGAAAGAGATGGTATCCTGTTTTCAGTCCAGTGGGGAACTGGTTCCGGATTTCTGGGAATTATTTAGGGCCACAAACAAAGCCACTCTCTAATTCCATCTTATACTTCAGAGCATGGCTGCTTGGCAAGATCTTTGCCACATGGTTTCTCCACAATTATAGCCTGTGACTTGTCAGATTTCCTAAAGGGTTTACATGTTAGGCTCCATCAACTACCGAAAGTTCTTCTTCCTAAGAGATGCACCTACAGGAAGCCATCTGTGACACTGATATTAAATGGTCTTTTTCAAATGGGCAAAAGCAGCTATTAGATGAATGAGACTACAGCAGGGTAGCAGACACTCTGTGGTCAGGGAACAAAGTGCTCCGGTGAGCTTAGGTTTTGTCTTTTTGTCTGTACTGCGTAGCACGTGGGATCTTAGTTCCCTGACTAGGGATTGAACCTGTACCCCCTGCAGTGGAACCATGGAATTGTCACAGAATGGGAGATTCATTTGGGCTCAAGGTTCAGCTTCATCCATACATCACAGGAGTATTGACTTCTATAAGCTTAACTTTTTTTCTACTGTAAAATGGACATATGAATTACTGTTTTTAGAATTACTGGAAGAATCAAAAACATAAATTGCCTTAAGAGCAACCTGAGAATAAAGTCTCAAAAACTATCTCTGGGGAAAGGAAGGAAGGAAGGAAGGAAGGGAGAAAGGGAGGGTGAAGGGGTGGGAGGAAGGGAAACAAAAGAAGGATATCTCTGGGAGATTTATCTCTGAGTCCTGAAAAGATGTTCTTCCTCCAATTCCCTCCTCCAATGGCTGGCATTAGGCCCATACCTGGGGTAGACAGTCAGGGCGAGACTCAAAGATGACCAGCAAGACTCCAATTGGGACAGTGACTTGTTCTAGCTCCAAGTCTTTGGCAATTCGCGTCCGGCGCAAAACCCGCCCCACACTGTCCTGGGAGGAGGCCGCAATCTGCCGCAGACCGATGGCCAGGCTGTTCAATTTAGACGTGGAGAGGCTCAAACGTTTCAGCAGAGGAGCTGCAAGTCTCCCTAAAGAGGTGTGAAGGGTACACGATGAAGCAGTAGACCTGGGTGGGTTCAGCTGTTTTACTGAACTGTGTTAGGAGCAGACAAGGAACTCGGGGTCTCGGGGAGACAAGGACATGTCATTTACACAGCTTTGCTGGGAGGGGCAGCTTGGCAGCTTACATCATCATGTAGAGGTGTGGACACCCACACTCTTGGTGCCAGCAGCTTCAGTTTCAGAAATTTATCATTTTCATGAGCAAATCTGCATGCAGGGTGGATACTTACCACAGCATTTTTATAATAGTGGGAACTGGATTCTACCTATAGATTCACACAATGGGCTACAAAGCAGTTACTGTAAATAAATTTCCATACTTACTGATATGGAAAGTTGTCTAGGATATAGTTTGTGGAAAAGGCAAAACAAAACAGCATGCATGATATGACCCTAATTATCACATACTGCACATACATGTGCACATACATGTACACAGACACATGTCAGAAAGCATTAACAGTGATGATCTCTCCTGCATTATTTTTTAATAATGAGTGAACTTTTTTTATAATTGGTAGTAGTAAAGATGTTTTCTTAAAAAAAATAGAATTATGGTAAGTTCATATACAGAATTTTGTTTAAATTTAACAGTATGCACTGTGTGATTATCTCTCTTAACACACACACACATATTTATATATATATACATGTATACACATGCATTCAGGAAAACCATTTGGAATCACGTATCATAAATAATCACTGGGCTTCCTTGGTGGCTCAGATGGAAAAGAATCTCCTTGCAATGCAGGAGACCTGGGTTTGATCCCTGGGTCGGGAAGATCCCCTGGAGAAGGGAATGGCAACTCACTCCAGCATTCTTGCCTGGAGAATGCCATGGACAGAGAAGCCTGGCGGGCTAGAGTCCATGGGGTTGCAAAGAGTCGTACACGACTAAGCACATACACACATCACAAATCATTATTATGATTAATGTTGAATGATACTATGAAAAATTTCCCCTTCTTTGGTACAGTCATAATCACCAAGACAAAAGAATAAAAAGACTTGTACTTTGGAGTGGAGGAACCAACCTTTTATTAAAAAAAAAAGAAAGAAACCATAATTTCATCAACCAATTACATTAAATTAATTTTCTTCATTTTCCCCCATGTGTTAAAAATCAACTTTTAATTGTAGTGCATATTAAATATTATACTCTAGTTTGTTACCTTATAATGCATATACATTTTCCATGTTGCCAAAATAATTTAATAATTACTAAACATCCCATTGACTTGATACAATTCAATGCACATGACTGTACCAATGTTATTAAACACTCAGGTTGTTTCCAGTTTTCATTGGGATAAATAATCCTGCTGTAAGAATCTTTTAAATTTTTTTTTAAAGAATCTTTACATGCAGAGCTGTTTTTTCCTCTTGCAATCTTTTCTTAGGATAAATTTCCTAAACTGGGCTCACTGAGTCAAAGGCAATTACCATGCTCATGTATATGCTAGACTTTGTTCTTAGGTCATGTGTGTCCTTATGGATTCCTAGAGAGAGATAACTGGGATCAGAAGTCAGAGCTCTGCCAACAACTAGGTGTGTGATCTTAAGCAGCAGCTTTAACCTCTGTGGGTCTTAATTCTTTTAAACTAAAGATTTCAGTAAGATGTCAAAAAAGATTTCTCCATTTATGAAATTTTTCTGTGGTTTTCTGATACTGCAAAATTTCCAAAGACCAGAGGTAAAGTCCAAAGAAAGTTCCAAGGTAATGGCTCAAAAATGTTTTAAGGAATGAAAGTAATGTTGATGAGCCCTGCAAGGTTTTTTTAAAGGGAATCTACTAATTTGGATGTTTGATTTGAGGCACATTTATTCACAAGAATATATAAACTCCATAAAATCAAGCTGCATTATTTTAGAATGGAAAAGAGAGAATTAAGAAAAGGAGAGAATGATGAGGGCCTGCCTGACTCAACATGTAATCTAGTTGTCTGTAATGTAAGTTCAGCTTACTCTATCGTTAGGACCTCCAGGGCATTTCTGGGTGGCAGACTACACACTGGTTAAGGAGATAAAGCTATCTTTCACCACAGGCTGCATGAACTATTTCCACTATTCTTTTATATACTCTGTGCATCTGGGTTTGGTTCCCAGATCTGTCACTGACTGTATGGTTTTAGGCATGTTAACAAATTCTTTCTACTTTAGTTTTCTCCTCTGTATAACAGGGATAATAAATAGTAGCTACTTTATAGGTACCATATTCTAAAGAGAAAATGAGATCCTGCCTGTTAATTCTTAGCATAATGCCCAGCAACACAAAGGCCTCAGTAAATGTTAGCTGCTGTTAGCTGAATGTCTAAAATAGTGAGGTCCTCCATCTTTTTCCTTTCTGACTTGTGATGTGTGGGGAATGGAAAAAGCCCCTCAGCAGGTGGGGGGTGGATGGGTGTTGTACGGAGTATCCAAGAAAGAGGTTGGAGGTAGTAGGTGTACTTTAAAAGATCCCAATGAATACCAGCCACCAACCCTCAATAAAAAATGATGTGTAATATGTAACTCCTTCCATAACGATCTTGTCTTTGGGCAGACTATGATGTAAGAATTATTGGTAAAACAAAGAATAAAAACCAAACCAAATCCCTCCATAACACTGACTCAGCTGCCTGGTCTTTACCTTCGGCCTCCTCCATGTCTTTTTTGTTGGCTAACAGGATCTCATCTCGCTGGTCTGTCAACAGATCGGCCAGGTGATGGATAATCTCTGCTCTCTAGGAAGAAAGGTTAAAGATTAACACGAATAAGCAAACATGTTAACCCATGAAGAATGCACACTACACTTTTAGATTTACTCTTCTGAGTGTGCCAGGCTTTGCTCCGAAATCCCATTACCAATGACTGAAATCTCCTAACTTTATTCATTCATTTCCTACCACCACTCCCCTCATTTTTCCTTCCTCTCTCAGTACTAATCTTTCTACTTTTCTTCCTCTTGTACCACTCCTGATCATGATGATTAACAAACCCTGGCTTCGTGTTTGGGGAGAAGGCATGCATTATTCAGTTCACTGATGAGATGGGCCAGCACTTGGAATCAGCATGATATACACACTGCACTTATTTAACAGCACCAGCTGTGTACCTGACTTCCCAGGTTAAGTTTTTGCATCTAGTTCTTCTTTCTTGACAATTATTAATGTTTATTAAATGAATTCAGTCAACAGGGAAAAATCCAGTCCTGAATGCTGGAGGAGACCCCAATCCTTACCCACCTAGATAAGAAGACAGCAAATCAGAGCAGTGATTATTGAAGGAGTAAAATAAGTGACTAAAGAGAAACTACGGTCCTCTTAGGCTTTCCTTTCTCTAATGTAGTTATTTCAAATTTTCTTTTCCATTCTCAGGCCAAAGAACTCCTCAGAAGAAACCTACATACATCACTTTCAAATCTAGCCTTAACATCACAACTATCAGGAAGCCAGCCCCTGCGTCCACCTGACCTTCTCACATTTTATTATATCTGCTACTTCAACTGACTGAGTCACTGTGGACAGGGCAGGGCTAAGCTATGGAGCAGACTCTGAAGCTTCCATCTTGTAAGTAAGCTAGGTAATTTGGGTGAGCTGGGATAAGCTACTTTCCTATATTTCTCTGCCCAGTATGTGGAAGGATTAGGGAGCCTCTCTGGTCTCATGATTTCCATGATATTTTTGATCAAAACATCATAATGATGCCAAGCTACCTTAGACTTCAGCCTATAAAAGACAGAGGAGAAAATGAAATCGAGAAAAATGGCAAAACAAATCTGAATCACACTTATTACTCAGATTTAACTCTATGGGACCTGAGGAATAGATGGAGAAACAGCAGGCTTGACTGTGCACTAAACCTCACAGCATGACTCGCTCTGAAAACTAAAAGAACTATCAGCAAGGATTATTACCTGCTCAGGTTCCAAAGTGGCTAACATCCTTCCTCCTGATCGAGCCATTTCTCCCTGCTGCTCCACAGTAGGGCCTACAAGAGCATGTGCAGACATCAGCTCATGGTCATAATGTGCTTGTTTCACATCCAGAGATCACTCTGACCAATAAACTGGCAGACGAGCATACCAGATTAACTCAGGCAGAAACATAAGAACCTGTCTGCACACAATATGATTTACATCTTTTGGAGTTCTCAATTCCACTTTGGCTTAAATTTTCTAATGTGTTTGCACTGCTGATTGTAGATTATATGACAATGCTGACTTTTTGAAGACCTGAGAGAACACACACCATTTCTTATACATCTTTGCATCTCTAGTGTTCAGTAGCACCTGGCATCCAGCATGGGCCTAGCAAATGTTTCTTGAGAAAATGGATACTTATATTCTTTAACTTAATGATTTTAGCAAGAAAAGGAGGCTTAGTTAGTCAGGTTAGATAAGTTTTACAAAGACAAGAGAATCCAATTTTGCAAGAAGCATTCAAAACTACACCATATTTCATACTATTAGCACATCAATTTTGTGAGCTTTCCTCCTAGGAGAGCTCTGTCTTCAGCCCCTTCTAGGCCATGGAGGCACTAGCTATCTTCCATAGACCACGGGACACTATGAAGAACTACTTACCTGCAGGTTTTACTTCAGAAAAGAAAGTGCCAACTTTCTTTCCCTCTACAATGTCTGTGATGACATGCCCAGACACCTTGGGGTGGGTCCCATTGGCAATGACCACAGAAGTACCACCTTGTAAAGCCCAGAGAGCCGCTTTCACCTAATGGGAGAAGTTAGATCCATGGATGAGATTCAGACCTTTGTATTTTTTTTTTTACCAGTAAGTATATAAATAGATTTTTATTGCAAATTATATCTACTAATATTTAAAAAGAACAATTAAGATGATAATAATACATTCAAATGGCATTTATTCATTACTGACTGTGAAATTCTGGTTAGGTACAAGTATAACATACATGATGATACAACCATTAATCACCCAGGTTCTGGGATATCTGAAACGGCATTCACTTAAGCATTCAATACTTCATGATCCAGACCTTTGCAGGGTCTAGGCCCCTGCACTTAAAACATGAATAAACAAAGAAAATACAATGTGATACTAAGCAATTTAAGTATCTGTAGGAAGGTTTTCAAGTAGCTCAGAAGCTCTGAGGACACACTCAGCCCACGTGTTTGTCTCAGCCCAATCCTGGCACGTGTAGTCTAAAGAGGAACCAATCTGTTCCTTGTGTTCAGTGTGTTCACCAAGACACTGGTACTGAGATGCATGACTTCAACATTTGACTTGTTGTGCCTCAACTCAAGAGTCCAGCCTGCTGCTTGACCAGAATATGATCCTGAGTACTCTGAGCTACGTACATGGGGTTGTGGTCTTTACCTCTGCTATTGCTACAAATGATGCTGTACCTGAAGGGTATAACTGCTTAGAAAAATTAATGGGAGAGAAGAATTTTGTAAAAGATTTTATCAAAAAATATTTGAGCTCTAATAAAAACACTTAAGAGGATTTATGAATTATAAAAAATACACACCCTGTTCTTTAAGAGGTTACAATATGAACACATTCTTTATACATCACTAACACAAATACATAGAAAGACATGACTAAATACAGGCACACAATGTTCATTAAACCTTTATTTAGATATGCATCATCTTTGTATATATACATCAGCCCTCAAACAATTACAAAAGCAAGAAGGATAAAATACTGTTTGGTTTTAAAATTGTTATGGGCAGTAAAGGCAACAGGGTCCTACCTTGGCTTCCATGCCACCCATTCCGACTCTGGACTTGGTTCCGAATGTCACAGACTGCTGATCACCAGGATAAAATATATCAATGAGCTTTGCATCATCTGACCCTGGGGGGCTGTCAAAGAGACCTAAAAAGTAAACAAGCGTCAGTAATACTGGTTAGCAGAAGTGAGCAACCCCCAAGAGAGACCTCCCCGGGGACCTGCCAACCACTCTGTACTCGACTCATACAGCTGAATTCTGCTATTTGGCCAGCTCTGATGAGAAAAGAGGTTAAGAGGTCCATGGAGCCTACCCACACTGAAAATCAGCTCCAGGAGGACATACCTTACATACTTTTATTAACTCTGCCTGGTAAATGAATGTTTGCCAGCATCAGAGCACAGCCATATCCCTGGCACAAAATTTACTGGTCCTGCCTACAGTCTACAGTGAAGCTGTCCTCACCTTTGCCATTGCTACTTATGATACTGAAACTTAAGGATGCACCTGAAAAAGGTGATAGCTTTTGCACAAGCAGTGCAGCAGCTGGATACTGTTTAATGTAACTATTTCCAAGGGCATGAAATATGAGAGGCTCTCATTCACTCTCAGAGTACTCTTTCAAACGGTCACACTGCACTCCCCACATTATGGGTAAGCCTCTGAAGGTCAGGCTGAATTAGCAAAAGAGCTCAGATTTGTCACCACAAAGCCAATGTCCTCTTTATAACTGAGGAGACTGACATAAAATGAGAGTTACACAAAATGTTATATGTATATCATCCAAGATTAAAAATCTTCACAACTTCACTTTGAGAAAGAGTGTATCTGAGCCTTGAAAGGCGAGGTCTAAGGGGAACACAGGCAGAGGGAACTGCTAATAGTCAGAGGCTGGCTGAAGGACATTTAGGCAGTGGTGTTTCTGGTTTCAAGTTAACTGCTTTTCTTATGCTAAAATAACACCCCTCTGCTCCAAATCTTTAATACAATCAGGCCATATGCATCCTCCCTAAGAGAGCAAGGGAATCAGAGTGGTGAGAATAGCCAGCATCCAGTACACAACAAAGCAGTGCAAACCATGAGCAGCAATTACACACAGAAAAAGAAATAACCTCTCATAACCCCTGTCTGCCTCAACCCAGCAGCTCACAGCTCTAGGGGTCCAGGGCTGGGTTGTTCTCAGGAGGCATTATGCTATGAGACCATAAATAGTATTTGACAATTTAAGCCAAACCTCCAGAGACACCTCGAGTTCCTAGCATTCTAATATTTCACCTACTTTTCTTTTTCATTATAGCAGCCTCTCAAACCCACTAGGAGTGTACTTAAAATTCTGGCATCTTTCTAAAAATCAATATTCAGTGGATAACTAATCAGAGTTAAGAGCACAAGCCTGCCGCCAATGGCCAGTTTTGGTGTTTGAGGCTGCATTAAAACTAAGGTTTACTAAAGTCTAGTTCAAACTGGGTTTCATTTTTATTATTATTTTTTAAAATAATTTTATTTGTTTGGCCCCCTTTAGATAACTCTACCATATTCTCTATGGATCAAAATGGGAGCAGGTTAAGAAAGTGAGCAGAGTGAATGGAAAGCCAAGTTGGAGTTGAGAGCGCCCCTCCATGAGGAGGGGGAAAGCAGAAGGGAACAGAGTACCACACAAGAACACAGTGGTCACACAGCCTGGCATTTCCATAGTGGAGCCAATTTAAAATAATGTATCTCATGATTTACATTAAAAACTAAAAGTGATCAAGACCACAAGGTGGTATCACTTCACACCCACCAGCGTGGCTATAGTCAAAATGGCGGATACCAAGAAGGAAGGGCTGGTGAGGATGGGAGAAGCTAGAACCCTCATACACTGCTGGGAAAATGTAAAATGGTACAGCTGCTTAGGAAACAAGCCTGGTACTTCTTCCAAAGGCTGAACAAATGATCCAGCAATTCCACTCCTAAGTAAAATAAAAAGTATGTTCACACCAAAACTTGTGCACAAATGTTCACAGAATCATTAGTTATAATAGCTTAAATGTCTATCACCTTAACAATTAGGTAAATAAAACCTACAAATAGGTAGTGTATCTACATAGTGGAATATTATTTGGCAATAAAAATAAATGAAATACTAATATGTGCTATAACATCAACGAACCTTGAGAACATTAAACCAGTCATGAAGGATCACATACACATACTGTATGATCACATTTACATAAAATATCTAGAATAGGCAAATCAATAGACAGAGGAGGGACTTCCCAGTAGTCCAATCAATAAAACTCTGCACTTCCAATGCAGGGGCCCCAGGTTCAATCCTTGACTGGGGAACTAAGATCCCATATGCTACAACTAAGCCCACACACCTTAACTACTGAGCCTGCGCAATATAGGCCCCATGCAGCACAACTAGACAAGCCCATATGCCTCAATGAAGACCCAGAGCAGTCAAAATAAATTAAAAAAAGAAATCGAGACAGAAGGTAAATTTGAGGTTGCCAAGGGCTGGATGGTTTCAGAGGATGTGAGGAATGACTGCTATAGGGTTTGGGTTTCTTGTTGGGGTGATTAAAAATGTTCTAAATTGTGGGGAGGGTTGAACAACTGTATGAATATACTAAAAATCATTGAACTGTAAATTTTAAAAGGTAAATTATATGTTATGTGAATTATATCTCCATATAGCTGTTGTAAAAAACAAAATTAAAGTGCCTGGAAATGACAACATTTCACAGCATTCAAACTTCATCTCCCAGGTGCCTCCCCTCCACTGCCACCTTTTTTGAATCATAAAACCCTCTTCAGACCATATGGCTCAGAAAATAATGGTCTACAGTGAAAAGATCAGGGGAACTCATGCTCACATATACAGTATTTAAAACAAAGATTGGATATAAAGAAAAGGCATTTCTTTGTACCTTCTACATCTGAGAGAACAATTAAGAGGTCAGTCTTCATTTCCACAGCCAGACGGGCAGCCAGGCTATCATTATCTTTAACACTAATAACCTAAAATACAGGTATAAAAAGCTGTGAGTAAGGGACCTGTGTAGTTCAACCAGAAGTTCACAGAAGTGCTCAGCTAGGCTCTGGCAGGCAAAATGAACAAATCTGAGCATGTGCATGATAGCTCTGAAAGGCCCTTTCAGTCTGAAAAACACCATGCCAACTGGCAACCCCCTCTCTGAACATGCCCCCTTCTCTCCACTGACACACACAAGTCATGCCCACAGCACCACCTTAAATCCATATTGCTCCTCACCGGTTGAATGAAACCCCCTGATTTTACAAGAGCTTATGAAGCCACTGCTCCAGGAGGCCAGCTTCTCTCCCATTTCTCCATCTTGTTTATGCCCAACATCTGGTGTTAGCACATGCAGCATAGCATGGCATTAATGTCTACAGCATGCTCAACCCTCATGAATACTTTACCCACATTTACCCCCTGGAGATCGCTATTGGGCTCTGCTGGAGGGACAACAGCATCGTTTGTGTTGACAATGGGGACGATGTTCATTCGCAGAAGCTCATGAAGAGTCCCATTGAGGTTTCGGCGCTTCTGCTCATCGTGGAAATCCAAATTGGTCACCAAAATCTAAAAGGATTAAAGAGATTGAAAATATGGGAGACAGGAAAATAGTGAACTTCCCAGGAACAGCATTCATACAAAGGATGCTAAGAGTATAGGAGTTAAACTTTAGGTTTCTTGGATCCTGAAAAGTTCAAAATGGAACACATCTTTGGAGACTTATCTAACTCTTCTGGAGATGAGAGAAAAGAATCACCTGGAAGATTTTAGGATGCTCAAGACATCTTGCAAAAGTACTTTAATCCTTAGAAAGCTATGAAATCTCATCCATTTACAAAATTAAGAAAATGAATGTACCTACTTTAGAGGGATCTGGGGACAGTAATGACTGCCATTTCTAAACAATTTTTGTATCCCAGCATTTGATTCAAAGTCTGGCCATACACACAGTAGGTGCTGAAACATGTGAGTGAGTGAATGAACCATTACTCTGCCTTGAACATGTACTGAACAAAATAGAACGGGGCTGTACTGTCCCTATTTTTTCTCTGTGGCTGACCACTGCCAGAGTTAGCAAAGACTGTATCTGAGCAAGTGGGATGAGTCTGATGGAGGTGAGTCTTTACACAAACTGAAAGAAGGGCCCGACATAACTAGTTCAGGGACAGATTTACTCAAGCTGCTCAAAGGCAAGAGTGGAGAGCTGGGTGTGGGGGCTGGTTAACAGCTCCCTCTTGCTGGAATCAGAGTATTAGGCAAAGTTTAGCAGGAGAGATAGATAAATGAGGATGACAGCAGGAAACAAAATGGTTACAAACTCCAAAGCTCATGAAGTAAACGTCTCAATAAAATCCCTCCGATGTTCATGGAAGAAGGCTCCTGTGATATAGGACAGAGCTGAGGTAGGAAAGGCTAAAGGCAAATGGTCAATAAAGAAGGTACCGAAAGAATACAAGTGGGAATGGTTAACTTCTGAACTAGGGTCTGGCTATGGTAACTGAGAAGATAACAGCAGCCTTAATGATATGTGATATTTGGGCGATAAAGACAAAAATGGTAACATCACCAAGGGAAGTAATTTACTCACTCATCTGATAAAAAATTGTTTGAGTACCTCTGAAATGCCAGACCCTGTACTAGCTGTTGGGATGGAGAATAAATATGCTAATGATTTGGGGAAGATGGAATAGGTTAGACCATGAATGTCTTTTCAGAAAGTTTAGTACTGTAGAAAACAGGCCTGGGTCAAAGGTGAACATACAGATTTTGGTCCTGGTGGTGGAAGGTCAAACAATAAAAGTAAAAACATGTGTAAATACGAGAGGCAAGCAGGAGGTATAAAGGCCCATTGAAAATATCTATTGCTCAAACAGTTTAGCAAGTAAGAGATGGAAAACAAGAAACCAGAGAGAAAAATACATGTTTGGAGAAAGTCGATCTGTTAGGATGCAAATCAGGTTCATTTCTATGAAGAAAAAACAGCTGCTGTTCTTGTTTAAGTCTTTAACCTGACAACTTACGGGAAACTTTCAAAAGCCCCCAGTAATGGTCTTAAGAACAGGATCACTAAATAAAACAAGGAACCACGGGATAAGGTGCAAAGAGCAAAGATTTCCTGTAGATCAGATCTTGGGCAAGGCAAAGGTGTTGGGAGTGAAGGGGCCCCTAGATGAAGGTAAACAAAAGAAAAGTTCCTGGACTTTACTTTCCTCACCTGGTTCCAGGCACTTAAAAAAAAAAAAAAAAAATTAAAGACTAAAACTGTCATTGGACTATGGAGGAAAAAAGAACAGATAAGAGGTGCCCAAAATTGAGATTTCCACTGCATTTATGTGACTGAAAAAAAAACTGAGACTTCAGAGTGGGGTCCCAGATACAAGCAAAAGTGAACAAGTACATGCTTTTCTGTTTCAGCTCCCTTACCCAATGACACTCTGAACATCATTATGGATAACAACTGGGAAAATGATGGAAAAACAGAAAAAGTGATAGGAAATGCAAGAGTCAAACCTGAAAGGATGTATGATAACATCATCTGTATACAACATCATCTGTATATAAAAATATCTGTGTAAATGATAGGATCAGGGGCAGCAAATCTGAACATAACTGGGGAAGTTAGGTTTTTTCAGTTGTTTCTATTCAAGAATTCTGCAAATTAAGGTAAAAAAGAAATAATGTAGAAAGAAGATTCTAGAACATTCAGGCAGTAACCTCATGTTCCATGAGGACTGGAACATGGCTGATTTGTTTGCTGCAGTATCCCCGATGTCTAATAGACTCCTCAGTATACAGTGGTGCACAATCAACATTTGCTAAATGAATTAAAAACCAACGAACCAAAAGCATTATCCTTCAATGGTTAGTAGATATGTATTATATAAGGCAACCAGATGCAAAGAGAAACAAGCCACCCGAAGTCAAAGAAGTCAATGAAATAAAGACATCTAACCTATCTTCAGAGGAAATATCGGTTCTTGGAGTAGTCCTAAGAGTTACAAGTATAGCAACAAGAGCTAACATTACTGAGAAAAGTATGTGTTGTACCAAACACATTAGATGCTTTTCATACATTTTCTCACTGAGCCCTTCTGAAAACCCTCTGCAGGAGGCACTGGTGACATCCTCATTTTTCAATACAGAAACTGAGGCACAAAAAGGCTAAAGACTTTCTCCAGATCTTCCATCTAGCAAGTGGTGAAGCTGAGACTGTATCCTGTCAGTCTGGCTCCAGAGCCCGGCTGGCAATCACCTTATTCCACGGGAATCACCCTCACGGGTCCCACCCCCTTGCAAAGGTCAGCCTCTCACCTGGGCAGCACAGATGCTGTACTGGGTAAACATGGCTTCATACAAGGCCATCAGCCCACTCTGTCCAGCAGCTGCACAGGCTCGGGCTTCTAAGACTGGAATTGCCTATAACATGCCAACAGACAAGGTGTGGTTGGGAGGGTGGGGAGGAGGCCTAAGGACCCAGTTATAGGGGGTGGGGAAGCCACACTCACCATCTCTTTCAGGTGGTTCTGCCCTGAATGTAGAGCCTGCCTTACGCTCTGAGACAGAAGGATCTCATGGCGCAAGCGCTGCTTGCCGAAGGCTACAGCTCCACTCGTCACCAGCATCATCTCTCGGCCTTGATTCTGCAGCACTGACACCTGACGATGATGAAGGAAAAGGCACAAGTCCCTGTAATATCTCTTTACTCTCGTCACAAGAGATTCAGGCAGGGTAGACTAATGAGTGGATCCCAAGTGCCAGTTGATAGATCAGCACTGGGCTGGCTCTGGAAGAAATCACCCAGGTTGTGTGATAAAAATACACAGTTCTACACACTTCCTCAAATTTGACAAGTAGATGGCAGACAGAAATGAGAAGTTTTAATAAGGAGATTCTGGGATGCAGCCAGGTTTGGCACCGATAGGACTTGAAGATACATAGAAGAGTCTATAATGTGGAAGGCCTAGCTGTTTGAGGAAATGAAGCCCAGAACACAAGTCTGGAGCCAGGAAGTGCAGCATAAACTTAGCAGATGGCTTCTCAAATTCTAAGGCATGCCCGGGGGAGATGACGCTGTTTCCAGGGCACGTGTAACTTCTGTGGGCAGCCTCTGGCTAGACCAGGGACAGACGCTGCTGCTCTTCTGCTCTGTCTGCCTAAAACAGTGTTGGTCACTTTGTTTCCCACCTAGGAGGGATCCACATGAGAGAATCAAAAAGTCAATATTCCTAACCTGTCCATTCCTCCTGATGCTTGAACCCTAAAACCCGGTTCAGGGACTTATAAGACAGCTACAATAAATCATAATCTAAAAAATGTATTTCTTACACAACATAGTAAATCAACTGTACTTTAATAAATTTTTTTTAAATGAGAAAAAACTTATTACCATAGAAAATTTCATACTTAGGCAAAGTGGTAAGAATCAAATGATAAATTCCTATGGACTCATGACCTAGCTTCAACAACTGTCTCTCATGGCCAATTTCTCACTCTCCAATATTCCTTTTATAGCTCAATTGTTATTTAAATACGAATCCCAGACTCCAGACACATTATTTGCTGGTTTGCAAATATTTCTGAAAGTAATTGCTAAAACACAGGGTAAATGCATATATCCACAAAACTAAATTATCTAAAACATTTCAATAATTCCCTAATATCAAATAGTCAGTGTTCACATTTTCCCACTTTTTTAAGCTTGCTTAAATTGAGATGCAAATTAAGCCCACACACTGCAATTAGTTGAAGGGTCTCTTAATTCATTTGTAATCCATAGGTTCCCCTCTATCATTTTCTTCCCTTGTAATTGTTCGTTAAAGAAACTGGGTTGTCCTTCAAGGTTTCTCAACCTTGACTTTCCTGCTTCTGTCCCTATGATACAGTTTAATGCTGTATTCTCTTTGCTGCAAACTGCTGTTAGGTATGGAGATTTGATCTTTTTTGTCAAGAATTCTTTACATGTCATGGTGTCCATCAAGGGGATATAGGAGGCCTGCAGGTCTTTTTGTGATGTTAGTTACTGTTGATGATAATCACCAAGACCGGTTAATTCATTACGGGCTACACTGATATTCTAATTAATTCATTTCTTCCCTATTTAAAGGCTGGAATACTTCCATAAAGGGAAACTTTCCTTCATCAACTATTTGGCTACCTTGAGGTATGGGTTATATGTGAAAGGTAGCACAGATGTGTCTTTCCCTTTATTCACCAGTTTCCTAAATGAGTAAGCTCTCTGGAATCCTTCAAAAGTAGCCAATGAATATTTTTTAAGTATCATTGTCATTCATAGATTTAAATATATTTCATGTGCTTAACTTCAGTGCAATAATTATTGATATTCAGACATTCCCATCTTCGGCCAATGGAATCCACTTTAAGTTGACTCTTAAGTCTACCTAACACGATCAGATCCTTGGACAAGATAGTGGACTCCGTATGTCAGGACTGCCCTGGCCTAGAAAACTGTTCCTTAAGGTCCATGGGTGTCCCTAGAAGGAGAGCTGGTGACCTAAGCAAACCATTACCAGGTTCTCCCCACTGATTTCATCAAGTTTCTCCTTTGCTCAAAATCTTCAATCTTCCTTTTAGGCAGAAACCCAATTCCTCCACCCAGTGTTAAAGCCTTAACTAATGGAATTAGACACATCCTCCCTGATGAAATCACCTCCACTGCCTTCAAGCTCAGCTCCCTCCCTGGCCCATCAGCATGCCAAACTCATTCCTGCTTTTGTCTCCTGTCTGGAGACTACTCCTGGAGCCTCCCTGTTCCCAGGACCACCAGGCTACACAATTCCAGGGGCACCATTCACAATGTGCACTTAGCAGCATGGAACACTTCCCCTTTGCTGCTTCAAATCCTGTCAGTCACAAAGGCTCACCCTGAGTCTCATCTCTCTGAGGAAGTTCCAACAGTGACCACACTCTCATCCAACCTTCCCACCTCCTGACCTGTCAGTACCTCTCATTTGGGCCCTCTCATTTGGATATGGTCTGCCTTGAACAATCGCCTAATTATTTTGGGAGTCCCAGTTTATTCTGGTTTCCCAAGGGGAGAGACTACAGTTAGAGGCAGACTTCTATTTACACAGGGACCAAACTCTGTCTCCAGATTGAATTACCAAGAGATCTGTGCAAGGAATCTTGGAAGTAGCCCTTGGATAAAAATTTATTAAACTGAACTGAACTGCGGGACTCAATCTGAAAGGCAGATCTCATGATAACTGCTTAGTACAGAAAACGTATGATAAAAATTCCATTAAGTTTTAGCAGTATTCTAATACCCACTTCAGTAAAAATTTTTTTTAAACTGAAAACATGGCTATGGAATATAGAGCTGAGTTACAGCTAGGACAGAAAAACTCCAGGTTTATCTCAAGGATATTTGGATGTCTGGTTTTTTGACTCTTGGTCAAGAGTTGACAAACTATGACCTGCAGGTCAACTCTGACCTGCGCCTGTTCTTGGAAACAAAGTTTTATCAGGACACAGCCACACTTGTTCACTTACGTACTGTCTAAGGTTGCTTCTGTGGTACAATGGTATGTGAGTAGTTGAGACAGACACTGAATGGCTCACAGAGAGTAACACATTCAGTACTGGTCTTTTACAGGAAAAGTTTGCTGATCCCTGCACTCCTAGAAAACATACGGGTAGTGGGATTTGTGATGTGATGTTTAAAGTCCAAAACTCACATGTTGACCCCTTAAAGTCAGTTTCTTTACTGATAAACTACCAGCGGTCAGTCTGGTAAAAAATTCCCACTGAAAACTCTGCTTTGAGGCCTTGCAAAGCCAAGATTCCTCGCACAGACCTCTTGGTGATTCAATCTGGAAATAGTGTGTCCTGTGCAGATAAGGACCCTGGGGGGCTTGTGCACAGGATTTCTCTCAGCCCCTCAATGCTTGCTTATCCTCCCTTCTGTGGCCTTACATCCCTATGCCTTTAAGTGAAAGTCTTATATGGGTATTCTCTGTGGAGTCTGGTGAGTCTTTTCAAATATTTGAACTGTGGAAATATTTGCAATGACAGCTCCTACTTATTTCAAGATTACTGGGCTAATTAAAAAAGATAAAGCCTAGCAAAAGGTGGGAGGAAGCTCAATATTCACACAAATCCAGAGTTGAGTACTCAACTCTAACTACTACTACCGGGGGAACTTTAAAAACACAGAGGGGTGAGCCCCACCCCATCTTCACTTATTAAGGCGGCTGAGTAAGCCCAGGCATCGCCAAGCCCCTCAGTGATTTTAATGTGCAGCCTGCATTAAGAACCAGACATACACAGCTCCTTCTCCCTAAGAAGCCTGAGGGATGAACTGCACGAAATCAACTCCACTCCTCAACACTCCCTCTGCTTGTCCTGGGATGCTGTCTCCTGGTGGCACCTTTTTCAGGAAAGGCAGTTTTCAGATTGGGTTAAATCTACTGTAGTCAAATGAGGATTACTTTTATAAGCTAAGAAATCTGAAATGACAGCCTAAAAAATGGACTTTGTTTTAGTTCAGAAGAATTTTCCGTCTTGGGAATTACCTGCTCAACAATAGACGCCAGGCGCCCCAGGGCCAGGCCACATTCATCCCCTCGGGTCACCACGGCACTTCCAAGTTTCACCACAATTCTCTTTGCATGCTTCAGCTCACTGCGGTGGGCAAAAGACTTGCCATGTGTACGACTGAGGGGCACAGTGATAAAGGGTATGTTGCTCCAAGAACGAACATGTCTGATGGCTGAAGGCTGAACATGACCTGCAGAACCCAAGCAAAGTCAAATGCAAGAAAAAAAGAAATACACAATATAATTTCTCATTGAAAATATGCATGCAAAACAGTAACCAGTTCAGCCACCAAAAAATAGTTTTACCATTCTCAACTGAAGAAAACCAGTATATGAAAAGACACATCAAGCATGTTTTAGTCCAGTATTGTGTGGAATTTGTATCCAGTACACAGATACACTCCAATATTGCTGGTCAAGAATTTAAACAAAACAATCTTTCCTGAAGACATGTTGGCAAAATGTATTAAAAACCTTAAAAATATTCACATCTTTGATTCAGCAATTCCACGTTCAGGAAATTTATTCTAAGGAACTAATCTGAGATAGAGACAAAGAAATTTATCAGCAGGCTATTCATCAGCATTATTTATAATAGGAAAAATCAGAAGCAGAGTAAATGTTCAAAAACGGGTAGGAAGATTTAACATTTTTAGAATTTTTAATAATATGGGAAAATGGTCATGATATGTTGTTTCACATACATTTCTAAATGCATACAAAAAGGTAAATAAATAAAACTATTAATATTTTATCTCATGATGATATTATGGGTGACTTATCTTCCTTTATTCTTATCTATGTTTTCCAATCTTATGCAGAAAAAATGTATTGCTTTCATAACCAGAAAAATACGTGTGCTTTTAAAGAAACCACACTGCTTTAAAAGAGTCTGATTAGCTAAGACAATATAAAGTAACTGGTATAAGTAATAAAAAATCATAACTAATCTCCCTATAAATTTTCTCTCAAACATGGCAGCATGAATTCAGATGTCTGTAACAAGGATAAAAGAAACTGGATAGCTTTCTGAAGGAAAAGTAATGCTGGACTCAGAGCCTTCTTTGTATCCCTGTGGACATCTGCGCCTAATCAATTCTTTCCTGATTCTTCTTGTAACACTCAACAAGATTTCTAAGGGACCAAACAAAAACAAATAAATAATCCCAAAAAGAATCCTCACCACAACAAAACAAAAAACTTGGTTAAAAAGCTGCAAATAAGTCACACCTGAATGTCAGGCACTGAACCTCCTTACCACTTCTCGTGATTCCGACTTCCTGCTGACTGCCTTCCCTCACAGAGTTCTCTACGTATCACCACTGACCTTAATAAATACTGGAACGAGTTACTAAAGTAATCATTCTGAGCCACCTTTCAGACTATTCTACAATTCTACTATTACAGAGTAACCTCTTTCACTTGAATCAACCACTCTCACCTCCCTTTGTATTTACAGACAGATTTCTCAGAATTTCTCTACCCAGTGCCTCCATCTCCCGATCGCTGACTCCTCTAACTGTAACTGAGCATCCATCTGCTGTCTCTGCCTACACTACAAAAATTAGGGTACAGCAGGTAGAACCCTATTCTCATGGACCAGATCACTGTGTGTTCTCCCTCTCTACCTCCCTCACACACAAACCTGAGAAAGAACATTTTAAATGAAGTCATAAAGGGTCTTTTCTCTCCTCTCTTAAATAACCATTTCTTTAAGTGACAATGTTTCAGATCTGTGGAGATTAAAGAAAGATGATATGGTCTTTTTTCACAACACACTTGCAATCTGGTTTCCAGCAGAGAGCTGCACAGTAAGCCCATCACCTGGAATACAACTGGAGCTTGACACCCTTGCTAGACCTGTTCCTGGTGAGGGGATCCTAGGAACCAAAGGACCGGTGTTCTGTGGGGGCTGTTCCCTGGACAGCTCTTTCTTCATCAGGTTCATCGATATAGGTACCCTGGCCTAGTCTTCAGGGATACTATCCTAAGCAATACACACACCTAAGTCTACATGTAAAAACTGTATACCTAATAGTTTTGGCCCCACTGACCTGATGGAGAAAGGGGTGTAGAGGGAGAGACTTACTCCCCTGGAGTTTGGACCTGTGATTGTCAGTGGCTGTATGCAGCGCTCAGAGCTGTACCCGCGTAGCATGCATCTCTCTTGACAGCTCAAGGCCTGGTGGCCACTTTTCTCTCCTGTGCATTGTAGACATGTCCTGGCCTAGAAAAGTGCTGTGCATGGGAGGGGCAACCTGAGAGGGCACCTCAGGGACACAGGTAGTGGCAAGCAGGTGAGTCCGAGCAGGCCAGGTTAGCATGAATGAAACTCCTGATCCACAGTCTGTATCAGCAGAGGAGGGTGGCATGGCTTGGTGCCAGGCAGTCAAGGGTCACTCTGGCGACAGGCAACTGGGTCACAGCACATCAGGTTTAAGGAAAGGTTCAAGAAGAGGCCACATCTATGAACAAGGTTTTAAGCAAATAAAAGCTCAGTCACATCCAGTGGGCTCCGCATCAAGGAGCATTCTACGGGGCCCAGGGCTTTCCCAGGTTTCCTATTCTGTGACAATGTGACAACACTGTCACCCTTCTTCAGGAAGATAGATTGACCCTATCTTCCTTGAGGGCATTTTTTACATTCTGCAGTGTATTATACTTTTGGGGGTTCATATGAAGGACTGAGAAGGCCTTGATTAGTTAGGAAAAATCCACGGCTTCTGAATAGGTAATCTCTTCCCATTTTCTAAGGACCTTTAGGCCCCAAGTCTCAAAGAAAAGCCATCTACTCCTGTTAAGGATGAAGGGATACCAAGGTACATATGTATACACATGTGCTGGGGGAAGGGGTTGCCCATATTCCTTAAAAGTGCCACAAGTCACACTTCAAGGGAGAAGCTCTTTAGCTTTTCAGCAACAGGGTCCTAATACTCAGTAATGAGGCTGTGTTTCAGGCCTGAACAGGAAGGGACCTGGACATGGTTTCTATTTCCCTTCCTGGTATTCCACTTCCCTCTGTTTGTATCTACATGCTTTCTCATTTTGCCTTTTCTCTTTTTTGCTCTTCTGCTCATCATCGTCAGTGAACATGGGGCTCCAGAAAACCTGAATACAAAGAAAAATCTAGGGATAAGATCACAAAGTATCTCCCGTGAATGAGTCTAATGAGAATAAACAATAATATCAACAATAAAACCCTAAAGTGAATACTTACTATATACCAGGAACTGTGTTAAACTATTCCTACACCTTATACAGAGGCACAGCAAATATGAAGGGAGTGTCTGACTCTGGAGTCAGACTTCCTGGGTTGGAATCTCAACTCCTTCACTTACTTGCTGTTACCTCATACGGTTTTTGTGGAGGATGGAATGAGTTAATGCATGAACAGGGACTGGCATGAAGTAAACACGTAATAAATGTTAGATGGTATATAAACATGTGTTAGCTATGACTATCATCATCATCATCTTTCTGAATTCTCATGAGTTGAGACTCAGGAGTTAGGTATTACTATGCATTAGTTATTATTATTCAGTTCAGTTCAGTTCAGTCACTCAGTCGCTCTGACTCTTTGCGAACCCATGGACTGCAGCACGCCAGTCCATTACCAACTTCCCGAGTTTACTTAAACTCATGCCCATTGAATCTGTGATACCATCCAACCATCTCATCCTCTGTCATTCCCTTCTCCTCCCGTCTTCAATCTTAGCCTCATTTTATACATAAGGAAGCTGTGGCTCAGATAAGTTGAGTAACTTAGCAGCATTATCAGACTGCAAAAATGGCCATAATACTTGATGCTGCTCCCATGCACAGCTGGAATCTATTTTCTCCTCTCCTGAAATAGCAGCTGGTCCTATGACTTGCTTTGACCAATCCAGTGCAGCAGAGCCTGCACTTTATAAACAAGCCTAGCTGGTTACAACACTGTATACAAGCCTGTTTTAACTTTGATGAGATCCAATTTATCAGTTTTTCATTTTATGGACTGTACATGTGTGCTAAGTCCCTACAGTCATGACCTACTGTTTTCTACAAGCCTGTTTAAAACACTGTATACAAGCCTAGCTCTGTATAAACTCTGAGCTTAGGTCACAGAGACCGTGTCACTCCCAAGCTTGCTGTTCTTGGGAAGCACCACGTGAAGAAGCCATGGATGGCCTGATGTAGGATGGGAGACCAAGTGGAACAGAGACGATCTGTCACTCCAGCAGACTATCCCCTGGCCTTCAACAATCAACCCTGACCTGAGCCAAAGTTGAGAGCTGACAAGGACATGGAACCACTGTGTAGCTGAGCCTGGTCCAAAATGCCAGCTCATGGAATTTTAACCTAAATCCATAGCTGTGGTCACTAAGTAAGCAGCAGAGGTAGTTTTCAAACACAGGGAGCCCAGTTTCAGACCCTCGGCTTTTAAACTTTACACTCTTCTTTGCATGAAAGTTTCCCTTGTGGCTTAGACGGTAAAGAATTTGCCTGCAATGTGGAAGACACAGGTTCGATTCCTGGGTCAGGAAGATCCCTTGGAGAAAGAAATGGCAAACCACTCCAGTGCTCTTGCCTAGAGAATTCGATGGACAGAGGAGCCTGGCAGGCTACAGTCCATGGGGTTGCAAAGAGTTAGACATGACTGAGCAACTACACTTGCATGAATGGGAAACAGATTTTTCCAATGGTGATAAGCTTGACTAGCTGGTAAGCAAGTCCTCTAGCAGAAAGGTTTTGAGATTTGTTGATAACATTTAGATGTTATCAAGGAGACTAGTAATTCAAAATATCATAAACAGCCTTTATAACTGGACCTCTATAAGCAAAAACAAAAAAGAATTTTGACCTAACTATCACACCTTATACAAATATTATTCAAAATGGATCATGGGACTTCAATGTAACCACAAAACTTTTAGGAAAAAAACACAGAAGAAAATCTTTAAGATCTAAGGCTATAAAAGAGTTCTCAGATCTGACCTCACATGTACAATCCATGGGCTTCCTAGGTGGCACGGGTGGTAAAGAAACTACCAACTCAGGAGATGCCAGTGACTCGGATTTGATCCCTGGGTCAGGAAGATCCCCGGAGAAGGGTATGGCAACCCACTCCAGTATTCTTGCGTGGAGAATCCCACGGACAGAGGAACCTGGTGGGCTACCCATGGGGTAGAAAACAGTAGGTCACGACTATAGGGACTTAGTACACATGTACAATGAAAAACTGATAAATCAGATCTCATCAAAGTTAAAAAAACAAAAACCACTTCCCCCTATGAAAGACCCTGTTAAGGGACTGAAATGGCAAGCTACAAACTGGGAGAAAATATTTTCAAAGCACAAATATGACTAAGGACTAGTATCTGCTGCTGCCAAGTTGCGTCAGTCGTGTCTGACTCTGTGCGACCCCATAGACGGCAGCGCACCAGGCTCTGCCATCCATGGGATTCTCCAGGCAAGAACACTGGAGTGGGTTGCCATTTCCTTCTCCAATGCATGAAAGTGAAAAGTGAAAGTGAAGTCGCTCAGTCGCTTCCGACTCTTAGCAACCCCATGGACTACAGCCTACCAGGCTCCTCCGTCCATGGGATTTTCCAGGTGAGAATACTGGAGTGGAATGCCATTGCCTTCTCCGAGGACTAGTATCTAGCAGACATTAAAAAACTCAAAGTTCAACAGTAGAAAAACAAACAATCCAATTAAAAATGACATTTCACTGATGAGGATATTCAGATGGCAAAATAAGCACATGAAAAGATGTTCAATCTCATCAGCCAACAGGGAAAAGGAAAACCACAGTGAGATATCATTATACACCTATCAAAATGGATAACATAAAAAAGACTGGCAACATCAGATGCTATTGAGGATGAAGAAAAAGTAGATTACTCATATACTGCTGGTGTGAATGTAAAATGGTACAGCCACTGCAAAAACTGTTTAGAAATTTCTTATGAAAGTAACTACCACATTGTATTGAGCAGCTTCAGCTGCAAGCAACAAATTCTGGTAAATTCTCTTTTTATTTTCATTCTGTTATGAATATTTTCTAATTTTCCTTCTTATGGCTTAGACACACCCATCATTTAAAAGTGGACATTTAATTTCCAAATACATGGGGTTTTTAACACTAATTTCTCATTTTGATACTAATTTCTCATTTAAATGTTTTCTTCTCTGCAATCATCCTGTTTTTTCAGCTTTCTAACTTTATTGAGGCTTTCAATGGCTTTCAGTGTGATCTCTTCTGTCACACTGCACTTGAAAATATGTGAGTTATTTTCAAATATCTTTTGCTATTGATTTCTAACAGAATTCCACAGACTCTGTATGATTTAAATACCTTTAGACTATGAACATTTTGCACCTTGTGTTATGTCCCTGGATATCTTTCAGTGTCTCCTAGTCATAGTCCATGGGAACTTGAACAGGATTTGTATCCTACTATTCTGTGAAAATTGTATAAATCCTAATTATATTGAATTCATTCATGGTGCTTTTCAGGAGTACCATACTTTCCTGTATATTCATTCTATTAATTTTTAAGAGTGATATTGAAACTCCAACTAAAAATTTATCTACTTAAATTGTAAAATATAATGGAACTATAAGTAACCTTGTTCTATATTTTCCAAGTCTCCTGTAAATGTGTTAATCATACTTTCATAATTTAAAAAATAAAAAAGAGAGAGGAAAAAACTGACTACCACATGTAACCAACATACAACCCGGAAACTGAACTTTTGGACATTTATCCCAAATAACCACAACTATATTCACACAAAATCCTGTACACAAATGTTCACAGCAGTTATTCACCACAGACAAAGTAACCAGATGTCCTTCAATGATGAATGATTACAGTAACTGTGGTACCCCCATACCACTAAATACTATTCAGTCATAAAAATGAACAAAGTGATACACACAACAAGAATCTCCAGAGATTCATGCTGAGTAAAAAAAGTCACCCCCAAAGGTCAGATACTGTATGATTTCATTTACATAACATTTAAAAATTATAAAAATGGAGAACAGA